GTGAAATAACTGATAAACTCATTTTTTTTTAATTTTGACTTAGACCACTTTCATAATTATGGGCTCAATTGTTTGAAACATTACAATGTGAATATGGAAGCTATAAAGAAGGTCTTAATACCCATGAAATTTTCATTTTTTAATTTGTTTATAGAAATTTTTAACATTTTTTGTATAAAAAATGAAATTTTATGGATATCATGGATGGATGGATCGATGGACCTTCCTTAAAGCCTTTGTAACAATTCGGTGTACCCAATTCGGAGAAAAGTTTCATGAACGATTGACCCCTTAGATGTCATTTTCACATCCCCTTAAGTTACCGAAAGGTGAAACAACGTCAAGAAATGGTAACATTAACTGTGCCATATCATCTACACAAATTATTGTGAATTTCGTTAAATCCTATCCTCATTCTCGGAACGTTAAAGTTACCAAAGAAAAATATTTTTAAGAGAGTAACATTAAATAAAATTACTAGACATTCTCAACTTGATTATGGAATTGTTACGGATGTTAGGCCAGGTAAAGAATAGTTTGCAAAACTATGAACTAACGCCCCTAAAAATGGTAGAAAAAATCGTTCAAACGACTGTTTATTCATCGTTATCACTCAGGGTAATTCATCCTTTGAAAAAACCTCGCTCGACTTTTAATCATACATGCACCCATTTTTGCTTTACTAATCGTAGTACTCGTCGGGCCGATTATCCACATTCGGAGTGATTTGCCAATCCTGATTTCCTCTCCTCGCAAATAAAGCCGACCTTTGAGAAACGTTATCGTGACAATAGACAAGTCACCTACTTGTCGATAAGCAGTGGCTTACTGATTACGTGCTGAACTTTGCACACCCAGTCGGTCCGGGAAGTGCGGTTTGCAACTCTTGGGACAGCGAATCTTGAAAAACCTCGATTCAGAAATATATATATAAAGAAATTCCTATCTCAAGGCGGTCAAAAGCGATCGGACCATAAAAGCACCCGATGGATTCAATATCTCGTTCTCTTACAATGTAACAACGTCAAACCCGCAGATACGCGGGGTCGAAGAAAGTCGAGATCGATGCAAAGATCGATGATCGGAAATTATGTAATTTGCCAATGTCGAGGACCAATATAGTACACACGCGCCTTTCGGAAGAATCGACTGCGGTGGCTTTAAATAAACCACGAGCCTTGCCAGGCCCCCACGTCTTGACCATGGACGTAAGATATACATATGGACCCCGCTCATTGACTTGCCCTGATAAAAACAAATGGAAATTTAAACACATTCTTACACACCACATACGTGGTCGTATAATATCTGCAAATCACATCATATTTGAATAGTAATTAACATATTCACACAATATGTACGTTGTCATTAACTTACCTGAACCGCTATCCGTGGACATAGTGGTAAAATATATAAATTATTCTTCCGCCAATAATTAGTTCGGAAGAGCCCAACTGAATTAATGCACTTTCAAAATAGAACTAAATGAATTCCATGTATTGTTAGGTAGACCGGAAAGTATTGTCGTTTCTGTGATCGTATGATTGTCATTTGTCGGTTTATCGTGTAGTTCAAAAACGCGCCAAAGAGGGCCACGTGCCATTTTAAGGTTATGTTTATATAATTTCTTTAAATTCTTGACTTAGACCACTTTCATAATTAACACTAAATGAATTCCACATAATGTTGAAATTACAACCACTCTCTAATGGTTCATTTTTGACAATATCGTAAAAATGACATTGAATTAATTTAGCTTAAAATAATGTGGGGTGAAATACCTGATAAACTCATTTTTTTTTAATTTGGACTTAGACCACTTTCATAATTATGGGCTCATAT